ATGTTTATATCTAGAAGGGGGTTCATGAACCTAATAATGATATTAGCGAAAATGATTAATGAATGAATTAAATAATTAAAGTAACGCGGATAGCGTAAATCATTGGAAAAGATCCCGCGACACCGTCGCGAAATGTAAGGCGTTTCTCATGGTCCTCCTACCTGACGTTGGTTTAGCTGACCAATTTACCATTTCATATGGACTTAACTTGAATGTTGAATTATTGACCAAAAAAAAAAACTTGAATGTTGAATTTTTAAGAGAGTATATGCTTTGAGTCTTTCTTGAGCTCGCTTTACTTGAAAAGCATCCTTTCAAATTTTATAACGTGATTAAAAGATTATTAGTCTAAAGTATGAATGGCGCGTGTATTTAGAGGAGGATGCTTATACTCTCTTTTTTTCTTTTTTGTAATAGAAGGTTTAGAGGGGGAAGACTATCTCATCCCAAGGCCAATACATACCAAGGCCTCTTTGAGGACTTATAAAGGGGGTGTTAGCTCTTTTTTTGGTTTTTACATATTACCCATTAAGAGAGATTGTCGATAGCGGAACTTGAACCTAAATATGGATAACAAAAAGAACGATCTTTACCGACTCAACCAACTCTCACTCTCATTGGCAGGATGTTTATTCTTAAACAAATGCTCAATGTATAAATTCATAATCGCTCAGCGCAAGTCTAGCAGGCTCGAAGGCAAGAACAGCCTGAGGATGAAATTATTTATAAACAAAATTATAAAAAAAAATTTAGAATATTTTTTTATACATACTTAGCAATTTTATTTATTTATTATTAATCTCATACATATAAATAAAATTAATCTCATATGAATAATAATTGCCAATGAGTCTAAAATATCGATGGTATCGGAAATATCGGTAGTCCAAAAACACGCAAATTTCAATGGAAATATTGGGATATTATCGATATCGATAAAAATTGAATAAAAAACAAGGAAATTGTAAGAAACTTGAAAATTTTTATTGAAACTTTGGAGAATGTTTATTTAGTCAATTATCTGTTAGTTTATCACAAAAAATTGGAAAGAAATGCATTGCATGATGGGTTTAACTAATTTAAGTTGATTATTGTAGAAAATATGTAGTAATTAATGAAATAAGATTAAACATTACGACAATATTTTACACTTTATACATTGTATGGTAAGATACATGAGTGACTTAGTACCACACAGAGTTCCCATTTGCATATTATCACAAAAACATATGCAACATGGTGGTTAAGGCGTTGGAGGAGTGAAATGGCATGGGTTCAAATCTCATTTGTGTTGTGCGCTTTGTGTTATTTTTTTCCTTTTTTCCATTACATCTATATTTTTTATATTATGGCAATATTTTTGACATTATAGTGATATTTTGATAAAATATTGCTAACGTGTGAGTGAAATTATGGACCGATATTTTTTGATATTATCGATATTTATACAATATGTATGAATATGTTCTGAAATATCCGTAACTCAAAAAAATGATAATATCATCAATATTATCAATATTTTAGATCATGATCATGACAATGGATAGAAAAAGTAACAAAAATATTACTAGAGCATATACTATTCACGTAAACAGTAAATACCCTTACTTTTCTTTGTTTTTTTATAATGACAAGTTGAAATTGTTCCCTTTTTTTAATGCGTGAATGAATCAATGTCAAAGGGTATTTTGGGACAACACATAAAACGTGATGAATAGAATAAACATTAGAAAGGACAAGAACACGGGCATTGTCAAATGGGAAATGACGAAGGACTTTCCTTGCACGTTGTCGTAGGGATGGGAAGCCACAGCCGCACGTGACCAAACATCGCGTTGACTTTCTGTGCTCTCATCTCATTCTCATAGTCAAGCCTCAAGCCTCAAGCCTCAAGCCTCAAGCCTCATGCATGCAACTTCACCAAATCCAGCGTCTGCGAATTAAATAAACATGCTTACTTCTACTCTTCCATTCAATTTCTTCACATTGCACAAATCTTAAATATTTATTGTCAGGATTTGTTAATTATTATAAGAATTGTTATTATATATATGCCCTAAATTATGCCACAAGCATTTTACCAATTCGAAGTAAACTAAAAGCATGCAATATATATGTAACTGGAGACTAGTGGTGTGAAGATCGAACCCATAATACCATTATAGTATATGCGTGAAAAATCTTCATCTTTTTATAATTTAGACTATTATTTGCATTAAAAAAAAACACGCAATATTACATTTTTGTTCATTGTAGTTCTGCCTTTTTGCATTTTATTGGTTTTATAGTCTTCTTAGACTTAGTATTTTCACTACCTTGTATGGGTCCTGGTTGAACTGTTAGTTGCTCTGTTAGGCATTAATCTAATATAATTTGCTATATGATTTTTTTATAAAATTGTTGTAAATATTGCCGTGGCGATGATTAATTCATGGCTTTCTTTGCAAACAATGAAGAACTGCATCATGGTAATGATAATGATGTTGATGACGATGATGATGATGTACTACTACATATGATCATAATTAACAATTATGCCTTGCCGGTCTTTAATATTTAATTGCTTTTCGTCTCGGTGGTAGTTGTAATCATGGAAAGGTTTATTACTGTATAATTAAGCACGCACTTTGTTTTTGAGGTGGTGGTTTGTTTGTCCTATTTCGAATAAGGTGTCGAGCAGAAGCAGATGTGTTTGTTTGTTGTTTTCTGGGCAACATAGA